TTCCTTATTTTATTTGTTTAGTGTCTGTCTTATCTCACTAGAATGTAAGAATGTTCAAGTGTTTTAAAGTCTCCAAGCCATAACCTGACCTTTCTCAGGGTGCCCGGATGCAACTGAAAACCTCAATAGCAAAGTTGCAAAGATCGTCTTCCCCTGGTGAAGGTCCTGGGAGCTGATTAATTTCCCACCTGGACCAGTAGGGAGATATGATTGGAAAGGTATGTGCCCTGAGTGACCAGGTGAGCCCTGAGCGCCAGCCTGGCTACGCCCTGTGTGATCTGGGCTCTGTGGTTGGATTTCTGGGAACAAAAGAAAAACTACCAGGCTTGGCAGTGGCCAGAGGGTTTTGTGGCAGACTGGCCGGGCGGGGGAAAGCTCAGCTGAGGTGGCCTGGTGCACTGGCAGCAGAGGCCCACATGCCCATGCCCATGGGGCAGCCTGGGTGTGCCCACACTGGGTACCGAGGAGCAGGGGGCACAGGGAATCAGGGGATCCAGGCCAAGCAGGAATGGACGACCTGTGTCACCAAACCTCATGACTACTTATTTTTCAGAGAATAAGGAAGTTGGTTTTTAGGCCTATTTCCTCATTTTGAAACACTGGTTCAAAATTGTTAAAAACACCACATGATCTGACAAAACACCTTTGAAAACTAGGTCTCCCCCTCTCCTCACCCCGACTCCAGGATGACTAGTTCACAGCTCTGCCAGTTAGCAAAAACCTTAAGAACATGGACTCTGGTTCCAGAAAGATCTGGCTTTGCCACAGGTTGGGCAAGTTCCTTGACATCTGCAAGTCTGTTTCTTTATCTGTAAAATAGGAACAAAAATAGATCGTACCTCATAAGATCATTTGGGAGGAGAGTTAGCAGGTGCCTGATAAATAGTATTCCTTGTAGTAATGAGGGGAGGGAGGGAGAAGAAAGGGCCTGGGGAATATTGGGGAGAGAGAAATAGCAAGGACACTGTGGTGTCAGCTGATATGTTGTGACAGGAGCACCCTGCTATGCCTGGGGGGCTGAGACTGAGGATCCAGGGAACAACTTTTGATCAATGGGCCCAGATAAGGATTCTGCCAACAAGCCAGAGACCCAGCACCCTGGGCCTCCAGACCCACAGGTGGCGCTGCATTCCTATGAGGTTCTCTATCTCAGGGGTTGGCACAGGTCACAAGCCAGAGCTTCCCATTCTGTACTTAAGCACAACAGTTGTCAGCTGAGCCAAACTGGAGGACTTCATATCTGTGCTTGTTGTACTTTGTCTTATTAATTTGGCGCCTGGCATTTCAGACTGTCAAGATTCTATAAATCAATGTATTAACTGTCCCTCTGAGTTCCTCCAAAGAAGGCTGTGGCAGTTTGTATAAAATTTTCACCAGAACCAGGTAGGAGTCTTTCGGTTGCAAGCAACAGAAACTCCCACCCGAGATGGCTTAGCAAAAAGGAAACTTATAGTCTCATGCACCTGAAATGTCCAGGGGTAGAGCTGGTTTGAGGTGTGGCTTGATGTGGGTCAAATGATGAAACCAGGCGCTGGATTCTCTCTGTCATCTTTCTGGGTATGGTCCATCCTCATACAGCCTCTTCCAGCTGCAGCTCCACACCCAAACAACTCATAGGTGGGACTCCCTGTGAGCTCAAACAAGGCATCCCAAGAAAACTTTCCTGTGCAGAGTTTCACTGGTTATGGTTAACCTGACTTGGGTCACGTTCCCTCCCTGGAACCAGTATCCTAAGAGGAATATAATGTGCTGATTTCTAGGCCAGGGTGGTATCAACCCTGAACAGGGTGGTGATAAATGAAATCAACATCCTAAAATCAAAATGTGGACCAGGTGTAAGGAAGGGGTGGAGACTCCAGAGCTAAATTAGGTGCAGTGACCTGAAGTAGAATGAATGGGTGTTCAGTGCCCCCCTGCTTATGAATAGAAAGAAAAGAAAAGAAAATTGACCTTACCTTTAATCAAAGTAGTATTGAAATAGTGGCTATAAAGTGCAGCTCCTAACACCCCACTGATTACGGGGCTGGCGTGGCTCCCTTTTGGCTGTTGGATGCCCTTCCATATGTCATCATCTCCTAGAACTGCACTAACTGGATTAAAGAAAGCAGGGGACTCTTCTTCTACAGTGGTATAGAAATACCCAATAGAGCCCTGGCTGATTTGGCTCAGCTGTTGGAGCGTCGGCCTGTGGACCAGAGTCCCAGGTTCGGTTCCCGCTAGAGGCACGTACCCCAAAAAAAGAAATACCCAATAGAACTTTTTTTTGGCACTTAGAGACCCCCAAACCAGCCATGAATCTACCCAGGCACTAATTTGTCCGACTGTGCATGATTCAGCCGGTGTGTCTTCATCTAGAAAAAGTGTTGTTTTTTTAAATTTGACCAAATGATCCATAGTTCCAAACACCTAGCCAAAGTCCACCTCTTCTTGTCCACAATTACTTAAAATGTGTACATTAAAATGTGTCCACCCTGCACCAATCAGTCCGTAGTTCCTCTACAGCCCCAGAACTCCAGCTCCTCCACCTCAGAATCACAGCACAAAGAGCATGTCATTTGTACAAAGCTGCTCACACCAACACAGTCCCAGACGTGATGCACCCCAACAATGCCCACAACAGGGCCTGGCCAGGAAACCAGTGCCTGAACCGAAAGGAAAATCCTCCAAAAGAACATGCACCAGGTGGAACCATGAAATTGCCATTTGTGCGGGTCAGTGCCAGTGTAATGTCAAAAATTTTATATGGTCACAACTGGATATACCAGGACAGTGGTTTTCAGAGTACGGCCCACAGACTCCGGGGCGGGGGGGGGGGGGCCGGGAGTGTGTCCCAAAGACCCTTTCAAGAAGAGCTCAAGGTCAAAATTACTTTCCTAATGATACTAAGGTGTTTTTTGCCTTCTTCCCGTGTTGACCAAAGCAACGCGGGGTAGAGTTCCAAAGGCTGGATTCCCCTTGTTCATTCCAAGGAAATAACGTAGCAGGCGGAGGGGAGAAGCAGATGCGAGAACCGTCTACCTTTTATTAAGCCAGACATTAAAGGGGTCTGCAGAAATGTTAAACAGTGCCATTCTTCCCACTAATTGTTTTTGATTTGGAAAATATTTCCCATAAAGGCATTTTGTTTATGTTACCATGGAAAGTATCTAATATTTACATTTCTAATGTAAGAATCAATAGATGTAACCCACATAAACAAAAACTCTCTGGGTCTTCAACAATGTTTAACAGTGTCAAGGATTCCTATGACCTAAAACTTTGAAAACTCCTGTATTAGGACAATCTACAGAGAAACATAGATGAAATGCGAAAACAATCAGAAAGCATATAAAAATATGGCAACAACACTGAGTTCAGAGACCACAATATTTTTTAGAGAGATCAATTTTTAAATATACAAAAATAATGAAACAATAATCACTCAGGGCCTCACAACCCATAACTACATGATAACACTTTATAATATTTGCTTTCAGTCTTTTTTACAAATTAATTAATTAATTAATTAATTAAACCTTCCAGCTAAAGTTAAAATCCTTTTGGTCCCCATTCCATTTCCCAACTCTCAGGTCACTACTATTGTGAATTTCAGTGGTTTCCTTCCTGTATATTTAGTTATAATTTTTACAGTAAATGTAATTGTTTTATGTGCTTCAAATTTTTACCTGAAATAATTCACACCGTACAGGTTCATCTGCTGCATTTAAGTGCACAGGCTCTGGCGTAAGACTGCCTGGGTCAATCCTGACTCTGATGCTTCCTAGTTTTGTGACCTTGGGCAAGTTACTCAACTTCTCTGTGCCCCAGTTTCCTCATCGATAAAACAGAGATAAGACTGATACCTACCCCATAGGCTGCTCTGAGCTTTAATGTAAGTGCCTAGAACAGCAGCACACAGTAAGCATTATGAAAGTATTTCCGCTCATTAGTATCCCAATAGCTTGCTTTATTCACTCACAATTTTGAAGTCTATGAGCATCCACATACATAAATGGAATATGTTTCTTCAGTGCTGTATAGTATTTCATCTAATAACCATTTCATATTTTATTATTTCTCTACTAAAAATAATGACAATAATAAACTTCTTTCTACTTATAGAGCTTCGTACCTTTATAGTGTCAAAATCTTGGTCAACTGATTTTCTGCAGCAGGGCTCAGCTTCCCACAGGCTCAGTGTCTGTGGCAGGCAGAAAAATGACACCCCTCCCCCGAACATCAAGGCCCTCACTTCCCAGACCTGTCACATGTTAGGTTATGTGGCAAAGGGGAAATAAGATTGCAGGTAGAATTAAGGTTGGTCATCAGTTTACCTAGAAATGGAGAGATGACCTGGGTTATCTGGGTCAGCCAAATGCAATCACAGGGTCTTTATCAGTGGAAGAGGGAGGCTGAAGAGAGAGAAGCAGAGAGATGGCATGTGGGAAAGACTTGGCCCGATACTGCTCGCTCTTAAGATAGAGCAAGGGCCACAGGCCAAAGAATGCAGGCAGGGTCTAACAGCGAGGCGGAGGTAGGTTCTCCCCTGGAGCCCCCAGAAGGAGCAGTGCTTCCTACCACTTCTTGGTGTTAGTGGTGTCAGACTTCTGGCCTCCAGAACCGTAGGTGGTAAATGTGTGGGTATTAAGCCGGTGCGTTTGGGGTCAGTGTTACAGCAGCAAGTGAAATGAGCCGTCTCTCCGGGGCAGGACCGGGAAGCTGCCGTTTGGGGTTTGCCGGGCACGTGGGACATGAAAATCCGTGTGTTACAGATACTGGCAAGAAAGAGGCTGAAATGACGGTCGGAACCTTGACCTAGTGAAGAGAAGAGAGGGGAGGACGTGAACTGGAGGAACGCGGGGGCTGAGGCGGGAGCGTGGGAGTCACTGGGAGGAAGCGGAGCCCAACCCCTGGGCAGGCGGTGCGACTTCCTAAAGCAGAGGTGGGGCTTTCCCGGGATGACAGGGATCTGGGCGTGACCTCGGAGGGGTTGCTGAGGCAGAGGCAAAGAGAAGGTCATGGGAAAGCAGAGGTGAGCCAACTCGGGGGCGGGGTGAGACACAGGACCTTTCTGGGGAAATCAGCCGCAGGAGCCTGGTCCCCTGAAACCCGCGCCTGTCCCAGAGCACAGCCCGGGCGCGCAGTCGCACAGGTGTGTGTGTTCAGGTGCACTGCCAGGTAGGTTGGAGTGTTGTAGGTGGCGTGTGATGCGCCTCGGGGGACTGTGGGGGACAGTGGTCTCTCTGGGGGATACGCAGCTGAGGTGTGTCTGTGTGCATAGTTGTGGCACGTGTGGGTGTCCGGCTGTGGGGAGGGAGAATGGGGACGCGTGCGTTAGGGGTGCGGGCGGGACGCTGGGGATACGCGGCGGGGTGTTGGGTTGCGTGGTGTGGCATGCGGGCAAGTGAGCGTGCGGGACGGAGCGGGGTGGGGTGGGGGGAAGAAAGGGGTGCCGAGGGAGGCGGCCGGGGAGCCGGGCGGTGCGTGGCCCGGCCTTGGGCGCCACCGAGCTCCGCCCGCGGGCACTCCGGGCTTCCCCGCCCGAGCGCCTGTCCCTCCCGCCCCCGTCGCGGCGGCTCCCAGCCCTAACTCCACAGCCACTGTGCCACCGTCGCCAGCGTGCGCATCCCGGCCGCCGCGAGCCGCCGCGAGCCCCGAGAGAAGCAGGTATGACAGCGACCTGGCGCGCGCAGGAGTGGCCCTGGCCGGTGCCCTCCACTGTCCCGGCCTCGGTTTCTCAGCCAGGGGCGCTTAGGCACTGGGGACACCCAGCCTCGAGGCCCGGTTGGGGGGCTGTGGGAAGGCACGAGCCCCGGCCGTGTGGGCCGAGGGACGCGGCGAGTCCCAGGAGCATCTGAGGCCGCAGAAAGGGCGGAGGGGCGCGGTGACGCGTCGTTCAGAAGGGTGACAACAGCGACACCTGAGCGCGGACTTCGCGCTGACTTCGCGCTGGGCCCGGCGAAGCACAGGCCTTGCTGGAATTCGCAGACTTCGCCCACAGGCAGCCCCGTGGGTGGCCTTCTGGCCGCTGCGCCCGGGGAAGGGGCCTGAGGGTCAGAGGCTGGAGAAGCCGCCGGGACCCCAGCTCCAGATATGAACCAGGGAGTGGGCCCCAGAGCCCACCTGTGAGCCCGCCTCTGGGAAGGTGGGTGCCCTCTGTGAGTGCCCCCTCCGGAGTGCTGGGAAGGAGGCCAGATCCAACTCCTTCCTGCCCACCCGGAGGGACACGGCCAGGGAATGTCATATGGCTTTGCCTGCTGGGGCAGGGGAGAAGTTGGGAACAGGAGGAAGCGCGGAGCGGACCTCCCCCTGTAGCAGTGGGTGAACCGAGGCGTGGAGAAGCCTAGGGAGGAGGTAGCCAGCTTCTCCCATCTGTACAAAACACAGCCGCACCCACCCAGCTCTACCAGGGGACCTGGGGGGCTGGGAACTGTGTGAAGACTCCCACAGACCTAGGCCCTGAGGAGGTGACATCCAAGAGTGACCCAACCTTCCTACCCACTGACAGTAATTCCATGAGGGACACACGGATCCATCCACCTCCTTTATCCATAACCTTCCAACCCCTGCCCTCCCTGTCCCCAAAGGGAGTGTTCCTTCTAGACCTTTCCCACATCCACAGAAGATGTGTGAACCGCATAGTGATGTGTGGGCAGCCGTGTGATAGTGATGGCACATCCACCCGTATCATTGGCAACCTGGCCTCCCCTCCCCCACCGGTCATTTCCGAGAGCTATCCATGTTGCTGCGTGTCGATCAAGCTCATTTACTTCAACGGCTGCGCAGTTTCCACCGTTGTGCCTCCTGACGGGCGTTTAGGGCATAAATGGAGGGACTGGCCTCTGTGTAAGTTGGTGTCTCTGGGTTGAGTAAGAGTCCTTTGCCCTAAACTAACTTCACAAGATGTGAATTTGGGGGACACAGTCTCCTCATCTCAATCGCACACACACATGTATGCACACATGCATGCTCACATGTGCACCTGGCCTATACACATACATGTGCACGTGTTCGTACATGTGTGCACTATACACACACACATGCACAGGTGCACGTATGCACACCTGTCTGGCTGTGGACAAGGACAAACACAAGAGCCCCTCTAGCCGTTGTCCCTGCGGAGCCCAAAGGCCGGAGACAGCCAGGCCACAGGCCCCAGTGGGCAGAGTTCCATAGGGTTGTTGCTAGGGCTTTTCTCTAGATGTTCCCCATGTTACCCCCACCCTCCAAGGGGAGACAGGAGTTAGGAACCATGGCCAACAGGCCAGCGTGCCCAGGTCCTATGGGTGTACCACAGACATACCAGGTCTCGACTGTGCCAGGGAGCCTGTTGCCCTGGAACATGTGCCAGGACCATCAAACATTTGCCGGTTGCCCGATAGCAGGCAGTTGGAGAAAAGCTGGAATCAGAGATGTTTGGATCACAGTCCCAGCTCTGCGAAATTCCCTTCCCCCACCTAGGCCACAGTTTTCTCGGTAACACGGGGGTGATGACAATGGCAACCTCCAAAACTGCTGAGTGGGTCCGAGGGACGAGGGATAATGAACAGCACGCCCGCACTCCGTGAGCAGAGAATCTTGTCCTGGACAGGACAGACCCAGGCCCCGGGGTCGGGCTGATGCTCAGAGCCACCATTTGGGACCTCGTCCCGACCCCAAGTGCGGGCAGACAAGCCGGAGCTCAGTGGGACTGAGGGTGAGGTTTTGCTTGCTGAGAGCCAGGCTCAGCTCTCCATGTCGTCCAAGCACCAGGGCGCCCACAGAGGGCCAGCTATCTGTCCAGCCCCGAGCGAGGCTGCAGAAACCATCAGCGAGGTCCCACCTTTGAGGTGCAGGAAATAGCACAAGTCGCAAAGGAGACCTGGGGGCATCTTTTATGAGGCCTATGCTCCTTTTAAAAACTTCAGCTTACTCCCAAGATTTGAAAAAGTGGGAGATGTCACATAAAACTGTATGTCTGAATCTTCCTGAGAAAAGAGGATCGGAGAAGTTGACAACTCTGGGCCCAATAGGTGGATCCCCCCTTGGATGGGACAGTCACCCTCCAGGGTGCCCCCAGCCCCACCTGGCCCATCCCTCATTCTTAAAGAACAGTGCAAAGTACAAGTGAACACAGAGACACCACTGCCAGGTTCTCCATCCCAGCTCTGATACAGGTGAGCTGTAAGGTCTAAGGTAAATTACTTAGCATTTTCGTGACATGAGTTCCTTGTATGTAAAACATGGGTAATGAGGAGCATATCTCAAAGGCGTTAAATGAGTTAACAACCTAAACCTCTCAGAGCAGTCCTGGTGCATGGTCAACACTATCTAAGTGTGGACGCTGATGCTGATGATGGTAGTGTTAGCTGCCTGGTAATTTGTACTCCATATAAAATGCTGTGGAAACACAAGTAAAGGAAGAAAGGAGGGAGAGAGGGAAAGTAACACTTGGAGCTCCTTCAAACCAGAGGCTGCAATCCTAGATATTTTTTCTGCCCCAGGAAAGAAAGAGGACAACATTTTAAGGAAAGATACAGCCCTGGCCAGTTTGGCTCAGCAGTTGGAGCGTCGGCCCATGGACCAGAGAGTGGTGGGTTCGATTCCGGTCAAGGGCACGTACCTCAGTTGAGGTTCAGTCCCCGGCCCTGGTCGGGGTTGTGTGGGAGGCAATCAGTTGGTGTATCTCTCTCACGTCGATGTTTATCTCTCTCTCTCTCTCTCCCTCCCACTCTGTCTTAAAATAAATGGAAAAATATCCTCAGGTGAGGATTTAAAAAAAGCAAGATACAAAGAGGGGGGAACTTCTAAAGTGGGGTTTGAAGGATGAATAGGAGTTTCTCGGAGTAGCAGAGTGAAAACGGCATTTCCACACAGAGATAACCTTTACAAAGGCCTGGGGGTGTGACCAAGTGAAGCATGTCTCGGAAGTGACAAGTAGTCCAATGTACTTTGCAGTAAGGCAGGCACCTCTACAAAGGGAGCGGCAGGAAGGTGGGACTGTGCAGACAGAAGGGAACCCTGAGATCATGGTGGGTTTGTGGCAGGAAAAGGGACGCGCATTTCTTGGGCACCTACTGTGTGCAGGTACTCTGATGATCACCACCCTGTGTGTGTGCCCCTCAGAGTGAGCTCTGCGACCCGCTACGAGTTAGAGGAAGGCTCAGGGAGGGTGAGTCCCGGCTGAGAGCTCACACAGTGGGTCCGAGGCAGAGCTGGGGTCCGGGCCGGATCTGTGTGATTCTACAGCCCGGGCCCCTCTCAGACCTCAGTTCTCTCAGTGTACATGGAGACAGGACCAGGGAAACCTGGTGCAGAGGTTGGTTGTGAGGAGTAGATGAGAGAATGAGACCCACAGCCGCACAGGCTACTGTGATTTTTATTGGAATGAGGCCTCTGGGCCTAACGCACACCACTGCCAGCCTCGGGCGGGGGAGGAGGGTGACCTGGGTCAGAGGGTCTCAACGTGTGGCCCCTGGATCAGTAGCCTCAGCGTCTCCCGGAGCTTGTTAGAAATGCAGATTCCCAGGCTCACCCTAGATCTCCTGAATCAGAGACTTGGGGGTGCCCAGCAACCTGTCCTCTGACCAGCCCTCCAGGTGGTTCTCGTGCTCACTAAAACTTTAGAGTCACTGGCCTGGAGGAAGGCGTCCTACGACAAGGCACGTGGCCTCTGCTCCAGGGGCTGGTCAGACCTTCCTTCACAGGTAGGAGAAGCACCGAGCGCCGCCGAGTCCCAGGGTTCTCGTCCTTTAGAAGCTGCTCCCCTTCCCGCTCCTGCAGCCTCTCTTCTGCCCCCTTTGTGGGCCTGTGGTGAGGCTTCATTTCAGAGGAGCTGTGTCTGGATAAAGGAGGCCCCGGCCCCCAGGACTCATCACCGCCACAAAAAGCTTGTTACCAGAGGCTCTTCGTGCCTGGGGGCCTTTGTGGGTGGTCTCTTCTCCCTCAACTCCCCCGAGGCTGTGTCCTTGCTAGTCCTGGGCAGTGGGGAAGACCCCGTGACTCAGGTCCCAGGTCAGGTGATAAGGAGAGGAGGTAAGTCCAGGTGGGGGACAGTCACATCCTGCCAGGGGACCTCCAATCGAGAAGCAGCCCCTTCCCTTCAAAGCACTGATCAGGAATGAGGAGGCAGTGCAGCCTAGTGGGTAGATGCAGGGGCCTTGCCTCAAAGATCAAAGTTGTTAGGGTGCCTACATAAA